TATATATATATATATATATATATATATATATATAAGGAGTAGATGCTGTCAACCCACGGGCTAACTGCTATAGTGTCAGATAATGACCCAGATTGAAGCTGAGCCGGTTTGACAGGCACGACCTTATTTTGTATTTAAATTTTTATTGTTTTTGTACAAATTCAAATCACTTGAAAATTTAAGCGTACATTCTTAAAAATTTTAGAGAGATAAACTACTTAAAAATGTTTAGAAACAGAAACTATATCAAAATTATTGAAGAGGGAAACTATCTCAAGTTTTAAGTTTTAAAGAGAGTATCTTAAAATTTTAGAAAGATAAACTATATTAAATTTTAGAGATAGTAAAGCACCTAAAAATTTTAAAGAGAAATTATCTCAAAATTTTTAGATAGACAATTTCAAATTTTAAATTTTGGATAGAAAGTATATTAAAGTTTAGAGAGACAAATCGTATCAAATTTTAGAGAGAGAAACTATCCCAAAATTTTTATAAATACACATCCTAAATTTTGAGTTTTAGAGAGAGAAAGTATAAAAAAAATTTACAGAAAGAAATTGTATCAAGTTTTGTTACCAAACAATGGACATAGAAGTGATTCAAACAATGGACATAGAGGTGATTGTAAGGAATCCATAAAATTTGTATAGTTTATCCAAACAAGAAATTTGAGGACTCCATGACAAAATCCTTGATATTGAAAATCCATAGATTTCATTGGACTTCAAATATCTAAGATTTCTACTTTCCTCCTATCCAAACAGGCTCTAAGATATAGCAAACCAGCTCACATGAGCCATATGGCTCCCAAGTGAACAGGAGTGGCAGCCTCCTCCCAACAGGGATGGATATCACACTCCTATAATATAACAAGCCCTAAAAGGTAGGGATTGAAAGAGGAGCTGGACTTTGATTGCCCACCATCAACAAAGCAAGGTTATCAACCACCCGACATTCCGACCCGACACTTAGACAAGCGGAGCTACCAATAATATAAACAATTAAGTCCTCAAATGGTCTCCAAATGAGATGAAATCCAGAGATCTCCAAGCTATGCAACAAACATTTCCACCAAGAATCAGGAGTTTTGGATCTCAGAACTATACTGAATGTTAGCCCGATGATGGCAAAAGGTAATGGCTCAAGCTTTTGGACAACAGAGTCAAAATGTGGTGAATACTCGTCAAAGTTTAAGCCACACTTATTTAAGCCAATCCCCCAAAATTTTGGGAAAGGGATTGGGGTGCTGGTAGTAGCATCCCCGCACCTTAGTCTCCATATTGTTGTTTTCATTTCAAAAAGTTAATTCTTAAACTATTTAAAAAACAAGTGAATCGCATGTCATCCCCAATGAATTATTTCAAAAAAAAAAAAACCTAAAATTCAACTCATTTGAGCATCATTTGACCACATTTATAGGTTCCTCAAAATGGAGCTCAATGTTCAAACCAATGGTGTATCAATCACATAGACACCCCATGAATGAGAGGCCTAGTTGTGAAGCAAAAATGATCTCGGATCGTAACAAAACCTAGTGAAATTTCAATCTAAAGGTCATTCCTGACAAAAATTTCCTGTCATTTGGATATCATTTGACACCATTTTCAAGGGGACGAATATCAAATTTACTACTCCTAACCATCGGTGGATTCAAGTACATAAGCAATGCATCCCTTATGCAACACAATTTGGATGACATTTGCACTAATGGTGGATAATTTCTCCCCAAATTAAAGGGCCAAAATAAAAGGTCAAATTGATATTAAGAATTGAAACCTACGTTTCAAGGGTACAGTAACTTGCCCTAAAATTGATATTCCCATTCCAAATATGTAACTTGCCCGTAAAAAAAATTGGGGCAAATTGATATTCCCATTCCAAATATGTAACTTGCCCGTAAAAAAAATTGGGGCAAATTGATATTCCCATTCCAAATATGTAACGTGCCTTTAAAATAAAAATGGTGTTAGACTCTTGGGTGATTGAGCAAAGGAATATAGTGAGAGACTTGGTGGGGCATTTGTACAATAGAGAGAGAGAGAGGTAAGTGGAATTTAGGGATCGAAGGGGCAAGGAGCAAGGGTAGGTCAAAGTTAAAGGCCAAAACAGATGAGGATTCCACATAATTGGATAAAAAGTTAAAACTCCCTCCAAAGTACAGGAATAGGTGGAAATGGAGGAGAGGGACACACCCTTGTATTGTATTGCAAGGTAAGCAAGATCATAGACTTGTTGGGACATGTTTGTTTTTCCTTATTCTCATTTTTCTATTTTTTCGATTGGTGTGCAGATAAGAGGTATTCTTGTCGCCAAAGTGAAATGTGACAATGGGGCTGGGTCATGGTGGTAATACCGCCTAAGCCCCACTTTCCATTCTCAATAATACTAAAAAAATTCGCTCTTTCAATAATGGGTAGGGCCCAATAATCCCCATTGATCTATAAAAAAACAAAACATATCGCCTATTAAAAATTGGGAGTTAGTCCTCGAACCTATATAACAATTCCAATACTTTGATCTTGATTCTCGATTATGTTTGTGCATCTCTTGTTGAATTCTATTTGGAATCTCATAAGAGTCGGTTTTTAAAAGAAATTTATAAGAACATCATGATCATCATCATGAAATCCTTTTTTCCAACTATTAAGGGTCAGCTATACG